GCGGCCTCCGATTGAGATTTCCGTCATCAGTTTGCACTTTCTTGTCTTCTGCAGTTTGAATACTCGACTCAGTCGTTGATTTCTTTGCCTTCACATCGTGTGTGGCTGTCGAAGCTTTAAAGCGTTCATTGTTGAAATTATTTTCATCCACTTGAATTTCTTGATTCCGCATTTTCCTAACATCTTTCAATTCACTTCCATTTGTTATCTTCACTTCTTCCACTTCACGCGTCACTTCCGCCGAAGCATCGACTGGCTTTTCCTTTCCTTCAACACCAACTGATTGAGAATCTTCAGGTCTCTGTTGATATTTCCCAAGTAAAACTCCCGCACGTTTGATGCTTTCCTCCGACATTCTTATAATTTCTTTCATCCCATTCATCCCATCGTCAATTTCCTTTTCGCTTTCATTGATTTCCTTAACTGCTTCCGCTTCGACATTGGACTGAAATGTGTCTTCAATTAACTTGTAAATCGATTGGAAGTTTTGTGTCACCAAACGAGTGGATTCATTCAACTTCAAACTTTCGTTGTTACTCGACGATATCGGATAACTTTCGGTCGATGAACGTTGACCTTCGAACCTCCGTTTCTCTTCATCGTTGCGATTTATCTTCAAAATTTGACGAAGTTTCCCATCATCAGTTATTGATGATGACATTGATGAATCTTTCTCATCCATTTCATCGCATTTTTCATCTCCATTGAAATTGGAAGCGCAAATATTGATTTTCTTCTCATTATCACGGCTGTCAGCAGTTACATTCACTGGCGCTTCAAGCTCATCCTTAGCAGATTTCCTTAATACTGTTGGCTTAACGAGAGATTTTCTATGTTTTGTCCTTTTATTGTTTCTTCTCTTGCGAGTGTCTTCAACCACGACATGAAACTTTCCATCTCGCAAATGAACTGCAAAGTTATTCAGAAATTTATTGACGTCTTCAACATGAACGAGACTTCTTTGATGATTCTCATCTTCAGCATCTTCAGGTTCTTCATCTGGTTTTGGTGGAAACTCAACCGATGGTCGAAATTCTGATTGATGATCGAATTCAAAAAATCTGATATTCGCATTGTCGTCAATCGCTGCAGTACTCGAAACTTCTCGCGAAGGGGAAATTTCCAGTTGATAAATTTTCTGAATAACACACGAGCCTGGAATCGACAAAGCAGGCAGCAACCGCGCACTTAAATGTTTGGCATTTCCAATGTTTTCCGTTGCTAGGCGGCTGTCGATTACATTCACCACATCATCGTCATTATTGGACTTGATGGCTGCTAAATTCCGACCTGATGTCGATGTCACTGTAATTGGCGAAAACTTCAATTCTGATTGAGTGCTTTGTGGTTGAATTTCACTCGATTTTGATACTGAAACTTCATTGTTTGGCATTTTTTCTATTCGACATGGAAATGTTGTTCCACTTGACGAATCGAGATTAAATTTTGATTGCAATTCAATTTGAAAATTCTTTTGATCAACTTTGTTCATGGCTTTCGGTTTCTTTTGAGATGTGATTGAAGTTACTTTGGGCGCATGCAGTTGAAATTTCACATTTGTTGCCACATTTCGTTTGCTTGGCTTTGATTTTTGTGACTTCAAAATTGATTTTGCAATTTGTTTTGTTGTTGAAATTTCTTTATTCTGACAATGCTGGTCGTCAGTTTCAGGCTCTTCAACAATCTCATTACCAGAAAGCAAAACTTCATCAATGATTCCAGTAATGTAGTTGCTATAATGACATAGTTTAGCTCTATTCCAAATTGGTGGCACGTTTGACTCCACTGAAGAGTTTTTCATTCTTCGCTGCACAATTTTCTTCTTCAAATCTTCAATTTTGTTGTCAAACTCACTCGCAGTTTTTAACAACTCGCTGAGATTATTCGAAGACGACTGTGAGTAATCTTTTTTCTTCAACATTTTCACGTCATCAGTTTTGTTCAGTCGGTTCATTTGCGTATCGATTTCTTTGTAGAATGTTTTGAATTTTTGCGCTATTTGATTCACTGTTGAAGACATTTTTAAAGAACTTTCTCAGTTTAACTCAAAATAAGTTTCAATTTCACAATCAACTCTTACAATAGTCAATGCACGACTGACAATCTGAAAAGATTTTTTGAACTTGTATCGGTCACTGCAATCTGCTGTTGTTTTTTATTTCAACATTTATGTTCGTTCATTCCTTCCAGGTGTCATGTTCCGGTTGGACTAACATATGAACAATTTGTAAATCCTTTGACCCAAATTATTTTATACGTTCGCTAACTACAATTACATATCATCAACCCCCAAACTGATTGCTAATATGTTGTGAAATTGTCTTAATTACGTTTTCCATTGGAAATAAATCGAATTGTTTATAACTTAGACAGATTACTTTCAATTGCAATTACAAAATATATTTTTATGTATTGGCTCAGCTTGCTTCAATTCATCTATTATTAACACCGAAAAGTAAACTTAAAATAATTTTAGTCTCAAAATCTTCATCAGCGGAATGGAAGCAATTCGCAGTTTAATTTCCTTGCTTCTGATTAATTTTTTATCAATTAAAATTGACTTTTGGTATTCTTCATTAGGAATTTTTGAACTCTACACGGGCATTGGAGTGGAGCGGACACCATTCTCGCTTATGGATGAAGCGAAAGCTGGCGTTACGAATACAATACTTTGTAGTAATTAAAACATTTCGTTATTTATTGAGTGAAGCAATTGCAATAATAACAACAATTTCTTCCCAGATGTGTTTCTCGGTTATGATGAAGTGTTTTATCAATGAAAGCGTTCAATCATGGACATTTATACAGAAGTGTATGACATTTAAATTTTTATTTTTTTTTAAATTTATT